CGAGTACTGACTAGCTGACAGAATTGAGACCAGTAACTTGGAATACATTGCCATTCAGTATCAAATGGGTTCTTACTGTCTTCCAAGGTCGTTTATAAATGGGGTGGAAGTACAGTTGGATTATTTTAAGATGCAAACAGTTAAACCGAATTGGTTGATCATATGTAACAAACTCTACGGATACGTAATACAGGAATGGAAACATTCTTACCGGCAGTGCTCTGTAAGCGATAGCTACAGGATTATATTGGTTGGCAGATCATGGCGTTCACAGACAAACTGTATCGTTTAACGAGGAGTACTAAAAGTGGATGACTTACCTTTTGTATTATGGCGAAAGAATGACACCTTTATTTAGGTTGGATAATCCCTAAATGGACCTGAATACGTTAAGACAAGTAAACCGACAGCTGGTAATGCAGACTGGGTGCAAATTTACGGTGGTAATATAACCCGAGATATGACTGTGAATTAAACTGCTAAAGGTACGGTATCCATGGAAACGGTGCACGCCTGACCGTCTTATGATAAAAAAACGTTAATTTTAGGATTTAACTTGTTGAATACTGAATAGCCTGACATTTCCTGCTCTAATCAATTGGAATTTACTCAACACAAATCTTACTATGGTTCTTTTAGCGATTGCTTTTAATTCGTGCAGTATGTGGGAGGTACAATGACGCATACAAAATGCGGTTACGACGTGCGGTTGCGAACCTTTCAACCGTCCGTTTAAGTGACTTTAAAACGCGTTAATCGCTTTATCACATGTCAGGGTAAACCAGTATCGGATCTACGGGTTTTATAATCCACTCAAACTCAGCACACTTTTACTGAGCTTAAAATCGCGGGTGTTCTGCACGTGCCAACGATAACAAAGTCGTCACTAATGAATTGACTGCAAAAAAAATAGTAGGGAACAGAAAGAGCGAATAAAACGGCAGGGTATTAGCTTCATTCTAATTCGATTCCGGGACAGTCTGAAACACTATCTAGTGCACGGTGTTAGGTGGACACCTGGAAAATGTTTTGCGTTTTCCACAACATCGGTGAAAAGAAGAGGTTTATTTATATTCCACATTGTAACACTAGCAGGATGGTCTCACGCCTATCCGAGCTGCTGTCCGAAGCAAAAACAACCATAAGCAGAAATGGTTAGCAAAAAGTTCTGGACAGTGCCACCTTCAACCCCACCACACCCTGGAATCGAAAGTGTCATACACTTATGTAACTATACAATTTTTGTATAAATCTACTAGCGTTCTATCACAAATGGCGCTCTCTGATTGGCTACGCCACTCGCTATCTGTTCTGCTGTAGATAGGGAGTAGCGTAGCCGTGTACACTTGTTCACAAACTAGAGGCCGCTTCTTCGCGTTTTCGACGTGTCCGTAAAGAGAATTCAGATAAAGTTTTGAACGACTAGTAGATTTGTACTAAAACAATTAGATTATTCGCTGTCGATTTCTATACGGGATAGTTGACTCGGGCTGCGCCATCGTCAACTATCACGCGATAGAAATCTCGAGCTCATAATCTAATTGTTTAATAGAACATAATTATTTAATATAATTATGTAATAATGTAACGTTATTATATGACTAGCTCCGTGAGCGGGCAAGATGAATCAAATCCTGCGCTGTGATTGGTTACCCGAGCGGGCAAGATGGAGCTATCTTGCCCGCTAGGGACTACCCGCCGTGTCCAGCAAGAAAAATTTCCCTGAAAGCCATATAATAAATCCTTTATTGACCAAGCTTGTTCGGCCAAGATGGCTGGATATTGGTCTCGTTCTTTTTTTGCGTGTCTATGGACCGAGACGGAGTCGAGGTCCATAGACAAGCAAAAAAAGAACTTGGCCAATATCCAGCTATTTTGACCTCACACTTGGTCAATAACCCATACGTATAATGATATAATAATATAATTAAAATTAATTTATGTACTAAAAACCTCTTTATGAACTGTCCTTCTGGGCCAGTTTGTTCAGTTCGAAAGTCTGTTAACGCTAACCCACTGGATTAAAAGTTAACCAAAGCATTAATTTCTATTGCATAAGAATGTTTTTCACTGCTTATGTTTTGTGCAGTTTGAGATTACTCAAATTCAAAACTGAAGGATAAACGATATAAACGGAAAACCACCGAAAAGCTACAAAACTCAAATCAAAATTCTGGCTTATCCTGGGTTAACTTAATTGGGCTTTGAATAAAACGGCCTCGGACATGTGCCTGGATAATACCTTGACAACTTTCTTGCGGCTGCAGGCCATTTTTGGCAGGGAAATCAACACATGCTTGTGCTTCAATGCATGGGAGAACTGGAGCGAGAAAAATCGGTTAACAGAATGACGTAAAAGAAAGGAGGGAGGAAGGGAAGGAGAGAGAGGCTCTCTGTTCTTTGGGATTCACATAACCAAAACATCACTTAAGTTCGCTCAGTAGGAGGGAGGTCGCACGTCTGTAACCACCAGTTACTGTGGAGACTGTAGATGGCGATAACGATGGGGATTTGACAGCCTGGTCTGTCGGGACAAAGTTTGAACTTCAGGTGGAAATTTTATACCAACCGTGCCGTACTCAATCTTATGGAACATCTGCAATTGATGAAGGTTCCTCGCTGCTCAAGCGTGTCCCACCCCAAGTTGTCTATCGCAGAGCAGACACTACTGTATCTTGAGTAATTATTAAATACGAATCTTGCAGCACGACGCTGAACGATCAAAACTCGTACAGAAAGCTAAGAGGATGTCACGAAAACCAGTCACAATAAAAACAACGCTAATTCAATAAAACTGTTTCTCCCCACCTAGACGCCCTGAAAGCCGATTTACTCAGAGAAAACAGCAAACACTCTTTACGCGTGTTTGTCGTGTTTGAAGGCACGTCTCTGGTATTAGCAATCTGTAGCTTTCTTGGAGTCTACCATAAGACCTTAGTCCGTGTTTACATAACCCACGGCTTGTATTAATCACGTCCCACAGTACCATTTGTAGTTCAAGGTTTTATAGTGTTACACTGTTTAGAAGGTGAAGAAGCCCGTCGCGAGAAGGATATTCTTCTCTGCAGGAGAGAGAAGAGGATGAGGAAATTTTAGCCTCAGAGAATTAGTGTTTCCGCCATGTCGACGAAGAAATCTCTTTGACGCTCGAAAGAAGTTTCAAGAAAGCCTATGTGATGCAAGGTACATGTTCAGGGTTTCTAAACACCTTTTGTTCAAAAGCTCATCGCATGAAAGCAGCAGCTGACCCCAAGACATCGCGGCCGTATGGGCAATATCCCATTTCGGTCCTCTTCCTAATCTGGCCCTATTGTATAACGGAGCAAGAATATGTCTATTAAACAAGAAGGGAGAAGAAAATTTATGGTAGAAGAAAACATACAGAAATAGGGAGGGGGTTGGTGGGGGTGAGAGACGTTTGGAAGTGTTCAATAGAGTGAAAGTTATGTTTTTGCCCGCCGCTTGTGAACAAATGTTTGTAATTGCTGAATGGAATGGTATCCTTGCGTGTGGACGCGGACTGCAAGTAACAAAGCCAAACAAATAAGCATAACATTCATTTGTAATGGATGCTCTCAAAGTTGTAAGTATATGTCTGAGCTTTCTTAAAATCGATGAACGAGATTGGCATCTTCCCTCTTCTGATAAGCTCCTTCTCCTACACCATTTTTACAAGTTCAGCCTCTTTCACCCTTTTTTCGTAGCATTCCAGCTTGAAGAGTTTCACCAAAGCTAGATGAAGTTATTAGAGAGCTTAAGGAAACCACGATGGCAACGGCAACGAGAACGCCACTAAATAAAAGGTTTAATGAGAAGAACAATGACTGTGCGCGTACGCTACAAATCGTTTTACATTATTTTGGAGAACGCAAACGACGGCGGCTAATTTCTCGTATTTTCTAGCTTGAGCAAGTTCTTAGACCAATATGCGCACTGGACAGACCTAGTAGACGGTTGCGAAATTCAAAGGTAAAATATAAATCCATTTTTTTCTAGGCGTTGCTCTCGGAGTCGCGGTCGTCATTGCTTAAGCTCTCTAATATTGATCCTTTAAGACCGCATTCCACTCGGAAAGTCTAGAAGGTTTGGAAAAAAGAACTATTATGCTGGGAATGCTATTGTTGAAGCGATTTGATTCACTCTTTGCTTTCACCGGTAGATATAATTTTGTACGCAGCAACGCCCATAGCAAGTCCCAACGGTCGCCAGTACCACGTTTGATCACTTATTAATTGTTTGCATTGAAGTTTTCTTGGCAATGAATCTTTGAGTATTGATAAAAGACGTCAAGAGTATATTCAAGACCTTTCAAAGTTTCAATCGGCCATTTCCAAAGATTCGTTTGGTGCTGAGATTTTTGCTGTTCCGTTCCTGGTTGACTCCGACATTAACACCACTGATGTTCTGAAAAACGTCATCTACGATTGTGAACTTTTCTTATTTTCGCGTTACTTGAACGTTTTCTTTCGATATTCAGCCAAAAGAAACTAACTGGAACAAGTTGCGGGAATTCTAACTACTAGTAACTTAAAATTATTAAAAACTGGATCATTGGATCATGATAATGCAATTCGAGAGTTTTCAGTGGCTTAGTCATCATGGGTTATGAGCCATTATACCATGCTCTGCATGCGTACGCGTGGTTTGGGGGCGTTTTTATTTCTATTTCAGACTAGTTTTCTATATTTTGGGGGGCGTTTTTAATAAAACAATAATTCCACTCGCGCTTGCTGGATATGAGATGATTATAGCCAACTCGGCTTAGCGCCTCGTTGGCAATTACCATCTCATATCCAACGCGCGCTCGTGGAATAATTACTAATTACCAACTGTTTTGCATGCTACGACTTCTACATTCAAATTGTACTTATACACGTTGGTGTCACTGTCAAGTGATAACAATGTTGTTTCAAGGTTAGATTTGACTGGCAAAGCCTGTTTTATGCTTGAATCTCGCTTGTCAAGACTTTTAAGAGAAGGTAAAAATAACAATATAGCCCTCACTCAAATTCCAGCCTTGTAATACATTCTTAAATTTGTAGCTAGGCTTTCTCAACCCTGACGTTCTTATTGAAAGTTAGGTTTTAATATAAGAGTGTCCGTAACCATCTGCCGGATTGAGGTTATTAATTCACTCATTCATTGTGTTCTTTGCTCTACTGACAAATTTCTGGCGCAATTTCTCTCGAGTCCCTCACTGGTTCTTAATTCTTGTCGTACGTGACCATGTACAGGCAGTAAAGTTAACAATTTCTCTCGAATCTGTCACTGGTTGTTAATTCTTGTCGTACGTGACCATGCACAGCCAGCAAACTTAACAACACTCAACCCAGCAATTCAGGTCGAATTTTTAAACTTTCGATTGTCTCTTCAGGTAAGCAGTAAACTGGATTAACCGGTTTAACCTCGGATGATCCTAGTAGTGCTAACCCGGCCAAACCAAACAGTGTATGGAAAGGGTCGACCTGCCAAAGAAAACAGACGGATTGACAACATCATTACAGTCAAAGGGAAAAACCACTTCAAACAATACGAAAATTTGGGCTATCATTTAGTTCATTACACGTCGCACGTCACTATTTTGAATTTGACAAAATCGTACCGCTGTAATACGACAAACTTCGTGTTTTGTATATCTTTATTATTATCATTATCATTATCATTATCATCATCATCATCATCATCATCATCATTATTATTATTATTATTATTATTATTATTTTTGTATTTTTTTTTTCAAACCTTCTAGTCGTGATTTTAAACCCCGACAACACTACGCCGGAGAATTTGAAAACTCAGCAGTCACCGGTCATATTGGATAATGTGTTTGAGGAAAACTCGGTCAGGAAATCACATGACTATCATGACGTCATCGTTTTCGAAAAGCTCCGTTTTCGAAAATGTTTCCGTCCACACTAAAACGCAAAGCCGGCGTTTTTGAAGGGCGTTTTCGAAAGGCCCCGTTTTCGTGACGGATTAGCGTGGACGTAGTGTGAACGGGACGTTAGTTGATGACCAGTTTGGACGGACAAATAAGCAGTGCGACTACCGACATTACTACATACTGGAATGTGTAATAAAGACAACGAATTTCCCTTCAATTGATGAAATACAAATCATTCGAACTAACCTGCGATAAATTCAAACTTGAAACAAAACAGATAAGAGAATCCTTTTAAATTTCAAAGAATAGCAAGGCAATACCAAAGGTTACCCAATGTCGAAATCGTTGCTGGCCATTCTCACTTGTTAACGGGATGGTGAAGCTTTTTGTCGCTAACGTTCTCCAAAAACCACGTCTAAATATTTGGTCCTTTTAAATATTTAACTGTTTGAAAACTCTCTAAATTGAGTACATTTTGAAGATTATTTCCGCAGCCTTACCATATCACCAGGTCTGTCAGCAAATCCTCCTGTTTCTTCATCTTGGCAGGCAAGAATGTAACTCCGTAATTTGCCCTGAAACAACGAAAGAAAAGATAGACGGTGGACTTTCGATCTCTCGAACTTTCAAGGGCAACGATTACTTTGAGCAACCTCGCTCCCATGGCATGGCCTTTTGCCTTCAGTGCTTTGAGAAATCGCAATTTCCCTTTATATACTCGTGACTTGCACAAAATTAACTCTGAAATCACAGAAAAACTGACATTGAAAGTATACTAAAATCGCAAACATTTAAGACATGATAATAAACCATAAACGAACGAAGATTGTTATGATTGGGAAAGACTGAGACGAACTATGAACATCTTTGTGACAACGTCGACAAGTTTTCTGACAAGCTTCCTGCGAATTTAAAGCTAAAAACACTGTATTGACAACAAACATAACTTCATCCACCCCAGCACTTGGCGCAAAATTTCTAATCAAATTCATAATCATCTCGAGCATTCGACTATCAGAGTAAAAGCTTCGGTTGTTGCCGTGTTTGTTTGTGTTTTACCTTGTCGATCCAGTGCAATTTGCCGATAATCTTGAGCGATGCCAACACCCACCACGAGTAGCAAACATCAGGAAGTTTCTCCGGTCGGCCTGGAATGAATTCATAAGAACATGACATGATTAACTACCAGAGTCCCTTGAAAGATCTTGAAAGATTTAAAATTTTCAATGGGGAATGTACCTTTGAAGCAGGGATCACTTATAATATCACTTCTAAATCTGCGAACAATTGACCGTAAATTCCAGGCTTCTAAAATAAGCATAATCCTTGCTTGTTCCTTCGCTTTGATTTTGAGAGTTTGGCTCGAAACTTGATCAAAACAGTAGTGCAATATGCTCTAAAATAGACCTATAGATCGTTTTAACTGTCACGCAATAAAAAAATAAATCGAAAACCATCCAGTGGAAAAAGCTATGATATTATGATGTTATAGAAGATAACTAAATAAGCCACTTCTCCAAGTTTTAGGCCTGTGCGTTTCCTCAAACTTCAGATATTCGTCGAAATGTTTCGCCGATATTTAAAGAGCCCAGTATGAAAACGCCATGTTGGTGTACCTCCGTGGTACACCAATATGGCGGCCGGAAAATAGTGTAAACATATGGAACTTACTTTGGCTATCTAGGCGACTGATTATCAGTACTGATCAAACAAGCATTTACATAAGCACTTTTTCTAATGCTTTAACTTCTAAAAAGGCTCAAAATCATGGGATAAGTATATGTTTTTCGACAAACTCGATCATAGCCTTGTGTCACGCACCTCCATAACCCTTAAAATTCAAAATACTCTGGAATCCAAACGAAGCACGCTATTGAGCTGTAAAATTGTAAACAGATATAAATATACCGCCTCTTGTGCCCGATGAGGACAAAACTTTGGTGGCTCTTTCGTTTTGGATTTTAGAAAGTGATGACGCCACGTGAAAACGATCTATTGTTTTTCCCAATCAGTAAGGGGTAATCCCCAGTCTGAACCATCCTTTGTTTTGCTATTTACTGCTTTCCCAGTGTATTTCTACCTTGAGGTTTTCACCTATCTGGATTGCATTTTTGTAGGTTGCAAACAACAAACCAAACTTGAGGACACTCAGTACTTTCACAGTTCTCAACCTCCCAAGATCTTGCAAGTGCAATGTGCTAAGCACTTGCATCAGACTTGTGCCTTGTTCATCACAGAAGCCCATTTAAATAGGCCATTTCTTAACTCCCTTTTGCCTCTGTTCCAAAATGAGTCCACATGCAAATCTTTTCATATAAAAATAATTTTGATTTGCATGAAAATGGATGTCTTGGTGAAACACATTTTCAAATGTATAATTTTGTGCAAAGCCTTGTTTTGACACAGAGGCAGAAAGCAACTCAGAAATGGCCAATATGACATGAAATGGCCAATATGGGTTTCTGCTAACTCTCTCTAACTCACCATTTAATCCACCAGATGGAAGCTGTCTCTCACAGAGCCACCAACCTAACATGTCAGCATTCACATGATGGAGAGTATCTGCTATAGCTAATGCACCAAGACAGCAATAAATCTGCAAGGAAAAAAAAAACGAAAAGTGAACATCTCAAATGGCACACAGCATTGTTGTAGTTCTGCTAAGCACTGAAAAACACTCTGAAGATGATCAGGAGGAGATGGACAACAGATCCTTGAACTGACTATGAGCCCCTTCTAACGGCAAACAAGAACGTCGTCTGGTTTGAAGGTGTATGGTATTTTTGGTAGAGGTGGTGTTTTTGCCTTGTATGCAAAGGGTCCCCACCCCGGCTTCTTCTCTAAACCTACCAAAAAAAGCATTGACTAATAATAACTAACAATTTGGCTTATAAATTAAAATGAATTTAAAGAAAGCAGTCCAACACTATTGACCTGTCCTGCATGTGATTCAGATCCCGGCCTGCATCCAAAGCCGCCATCAAAATTCATACACAACAACACATATTCCACAGCCTTCTCTAGGTTTACAGCATCCAAACGGCCCTGGGAATAAAACAGATACCTGTAATCACTGCATTTGATTAATTTATCACTTTTAGATGAAGGTTTCATCCCAGCTATTAAACTACAATTAAAGCCATAAGTGAGCAATTTTGATATAATGACTATTATTATGAAAGGTTCCAGGGCTGCCATTAAGCCATAACCTGTAACACTTGATGCTATGGGTGAAATTGCTTTTTGTTGAATGGAACTCACCCACAAAGTAACAAGTCTGCTACAGGTGTGGAGAAAACATGTGACTCAAAACTGGGTTCTTCTGGTAAACAAAGAATTGTATAACCTACCAATAGTTTTAAACTGGCAAAGGCACAAAATGAAAACCTTGTATCCACTTCCCCTAAAGATGAAAGCAAACAGAATAAACAAATAAATAAGAGATAGCATGTACCACTTTTGTGTTTCTAAATAAATTTTATTTTATTCTAACCAGCAATCAGCTACTTGAAGTTGGACAGTTTTACCACAAGTAGCAATCATATATCAAATAATAAATATTCACATCTGCACATGAGTACAAACCCCACTTGTCCCCAACAAATGATCCATCGGCTTGCTGAAGTTTTGATACATAGTCCACAGTCTTGTCGACATCAATCAGCTCAATACAGCCATAAAGAGACAGAATCTAAACCAGGAAATGATAAACACAGATTAAATTCAAGTTCTTAGGATACAGTCTATGAGCCCAGTTGTTATACAAAATGGTAAATGATGTACTCCACCGGATAAATCATTATCCTCTGGACCAATTCTAATAAGACAAAAGCTATCAAATGAATAGTGAGTTATCCAGTGGATAGCATTATACTCTCTATGTACAGCTAGCATTAGTATGGAGAAGTGTATCATGAGAGTTAAGTATCCTGCCCAAGAACACAGATGAACCCGCCCAGGGCTTGAACCTGGATCACTCAATTTGGAGTCCACAGTGCCCTAACCTGCACCTCCCTAGAACTAGAAAATCGACATCATCATTTCCATCTCCCCACTTGAGAAATAGGGCCTGCAAAACTCCACCATCCTAAACCACTTCAATCATTAACATACAGT